CAGTAGCAGGAAGCAGCAGAAGCAGCAACAACTATAGTTAACCCACTCATTGACTGACTTTGACCCTGAGGTTTAGTGCTGAAGACTAATTAATATTGTCTCAATATTACTAGCACAAGTATTAATTGTAGTAGCAGTACTAGTAGCAAGAACAGTCGCAACAGTAGTAGCCATCGTAGCAACAGTAGTAGTGGTACTCGTCCCAGCAATAATACCAGTAGCAACAGTAGTAGTGATCCTCGTACCAGCAATAATACCAGTAGCAACAGTAGTAGTGATCCTCGTCCCAGCAATAATACCAGTAGCAACAGTAGTAGTGATCCTCGTCCCAGCAATAATACCAGTAGCAACAGTAGTAGTGATCCTCGTACCAGCAATAATACCAGTAGCAACAGTAGTAGTGATCCTCGTACCAGCAATAATACCAGTAGCAAGAGTACTGGTAGGACCGGTGGTGCCCTTGACACCACTGGAAGTGGGCGTACTGGAGTAAGTAGTGTAAGACGTGACGCAGCTGTTCCGGCAGCAAATGCAACATTCATTGCACAAATCATTTTCCCCTTGTAACTGCGTCGTCTGGCAACGAGGCGATCACAGCAACAGGAGCAACAGCTGCAGGAACAATAACAGAGGTAGTGGCAATAATGCGTTCCACTAACTCATCAGAACTGCTACGAGGAAGGAAGGGGGGAATGGTGGAACGGAGAAGGGAAATGGGCAAGGAAGGGGATGCACAGAAGAGTGGGAATCGCATAGGGAAAGGATAGGTTGGGATGAGTGGAAGATGTGAGGTAGCTGTTGTTGTTTAAGATTCGCTACCCGGAACACAAAGTTCCAAGTAGCACGGACTATGGTGAGCCCGCAGTGAGATGTGAGGGGTCGTATCTGTGCATATTCGTGTAATTATACTATTTACTTTTATCTAACTGTATTTTTATGATAGTTAAATGTCAACTTATTGTGCCATTTCAGTCTTTTATTTCATCTTTATGTCTGTCTTTGTGGTCAACATTTCACTCAGTCTCCTCCCATTCTACTCAACATCACCGTTACTTTCACTGCTCAGGCAGTTAGTACGTCAGGAACCATGAATTGGACATTACTCAATTCATGTTGTTTGTATATCCTGTACACGTGTCATGCGAGATGCAGCCTCCAGTGTACCAGTTCATTCATAAACATGAGGTGGTGTGGCGGGGCCTGATCCCCTCGACCAGACTGTGGCCTGGCTACACAACCTGTTCCCTTGTCTCCTCTGCTTTTGTTTCACGGGAACTGAATGGATTTATTATTATTATTATTGTTAGTAGTAGTAGTAGTAGTAGTAGTAGTAGTGGATGTGGTGGTGGTAGTAGTATTAGTAGTAGTAGTAGTAGTAGTAGTAGTAGTAGTGGATGTGGTGGTAGTATTAGTAGTAGTAGTAGTAGTAGTAGTGGATGTGGTGGTAGTAGTAGTAGTAGTAGTAGTAGTAGTAGTGGATGTGGTGGTGGTAGTAGTAGTAGTAGTAGTAGTAGTAGTAGTAGTAGTAGTAGTAGTAGTAGTAGTAGTAGTAGTAGTAGTAGTAGTAGCAGTAGTAGTAGTAGTGGATGTGGTGGTAGTATTAGTAGTAGTAGTAGTAGTAGTAGTAGTGGATGTGGTGGTAGTATTAGTAGTAGTAGTAGTGGATGTGGTGGTAGTATTAGTAGTAGTAGTAGTAGTAGTAGTAGTGGATGTGGTGGTAGTATTAGTAGTAGTAGTAGTAGTAGTAGTAGTAGTAGTAGTAGTAGTAGTAGTAGTAGTGTAGTAGTAGTAGTAGTAGTAGTAGCAGTAGTAGTAGTAGTGGATGTGGTCGTAGTAGTAGTAGTAGTAGTAGTAGTAGTATTTGTATTTTTATTATTTTACCAAATATTATAACTATAACAATGACAATGATAAAAATACTTGAAATAAAATTAATATTTCTGTGTTGGACTATTTTCTGGGAAATAATAAGGGGGGGGGGGTTAAAGGGGTGGGACACGCCATAGAAGGTAGGAATATGTTTGTCTAATTACATGTGTCAGAGACATGTCTCTACTAACGAGAGACATGTCTGTACTAACGAGAGACATGTCTCTACTAACGAGAGACATGTCTGTACTAACGAGAGACATGTCTGAGAGACATGTCTCTACTAACGAGAGACATGTCTCTACTAACGAGAGACATGTCTCTACTAACGAGAGACATGTCTCTACTAACGAGAGACATACTAACGAGAGACATGTCTCTACTACTAACGAGAGACATGTCTCTACTAACGAGAGACATGTCTCTACTAACGAGAGACATGTCTCTACTAACGAGAGACATGTCTCTACTAACGAGAGACATGTCTCTACTAACGAGAGACATGTCTCTACTAACGAGAGACATGTCTCTACTAACGAGAGACATGTCTCTACTAACGAGAGACATGTCTCTACTAACGAGAGACATGTCTCTACTAACGAGAGACATGTCTCTACTAACGAGAGACATGTCTCTCTACTAACGAGAGACATGTCTGACCTAACGAGAGACATGTCTCTACTAACGAGAGACATGTCTGTACTACGAGAGACATGTCTCTACTAACGAGAGACATGTCTCTACTAACGAGAGACATGTCTCTACTAACGAGAGACATGTCTCTACTAACGAGAGACATGTCTCTACTAACGAGAGACATGTCTCTACTAACGAGAGACATGTCTCTACTAACGAGAGACATGTCTGTACTAACGAGAGACATGTCTCTACTAACGAGAGACATGTCTCTACTAACGAGAGACATGTCTCTACTAACGAGAGACATGTCTCTACTAACGAGAGACATGTCTCTACTAACGAGAGACATGTCTCTACTAACGAGAGACATGTACTAACGAGAGACATGTCTCTACTAACGAGAGACATGTCTCTACTAATGAGAGACATGTCTCTACTAACGAGAGACATGAGAGACATGTCTCTACTAACGAGAGACATGTCTCTACTAAGAGACAGAGACATGTCTCTACTAACGAGAGACATGTCTCTACTAACGAGAGACATGTCTCTACTAACACTAACAATAACTCAAGATTTAACCTAAAGTATTACCATCCTTAACAGCCAAGAGTCACTGACATATAACCATAATAACTCATCATCTGGTTCCTTATTTTCTAATATGTAAATAAATATTAATTTACATATTGGGGAGCCGGTCGGCCGAGCGGACAGCACGCTGGACTTGTGATCTTGTGGTCCTGGGTTCAATCCCAGGCGCCGGCGAGAAACAATGGGCAGAGTTTCTTTCACCCTATGCCCCTGTTACCTAGCAGTAAAATAGGTACCTGGGTGTTAGTCAGCTGTCACGGGCTGCTTCCTGGGGGTGGAGGCCTGGTCGAGGACCGGGCCGCGGGGACACTAAAAAAAGCCCCGAAATCATCTCAAGATAACCTCAAGATAACCTACAGCATAATGTTGGGTATAAGAAAGGTCAGGTTTGGTCTTGGTTCCAGTAAGCAGTAAGTAGTACTTGCATGAGCCATCTATATGAGTGCGACTCGAACACAGGAAGCACAGTGAACCCCTGCTCGAGTAATGTTAGGACGTTATCAGGTAGGAGTCATGTGTAAAATTTAATAGTTTTCCATATAAAAAATGTGTTTGGTGGATGGACTAACGCGCATTTGGCCATTAAGCCAACCCAGCCGTATGAGGAGAATGATAAGTGGCGACGTTTTGGCCGGTCCTGGACGTATAATAAGTCACATCTGAGATATAAAAGGAAGCCATTAAAAGGCCAGAGAGCACGTGAGGTGTAAGTGGAAACCAGAAAGCATTAAACGCTGATGAAAATAGAAACTAAACGAATTACAGTAAGCTGAAACGGGATTGAGATTAAACCCATCATGTTAATAAATTCAGAGAGAAAAAGAGAGAGAGACAAGAAGAAAATAAGAGATAGAGACAGAAAAAAAATTAGAGAGCACATAGTTTATTCCTATCTCGCATGCTATGAAGATCAGAGCAGTTATCAGTGTACTGAGAAAGGCAACAAAGCCAAGAAAGGCCGAAACATCGCCGCTTTCCTTAGAGTACGTGTAGGTTGTGTTAGTTGTCTCGGCCACGTTCTTGAGACCAGTTCTCTGCATTAACGGAAGCCAGAGAGGCAAATAAGCCACAGTAATCTAAGGAAACATTTGTTTATCTTCAGACTAGGGAGGAAAGGGAGGAAAGGAGGAGGATTAGCCGAGGCAAATGATATACATACATATTTAAATGTAGATATGATATACATCTATTATATCCGGCACCATTGTATTCGAGAACCGAATGCTGAAAAGATAACCCTAGAGCTGCCTCGATAGATAGCCGAAGAACTGCCTCGATATATAACCCAAGAGCTGCCTCGATAGATAGCCGAAGAACTGCCTCGATAGATAACCCAAGAGCTGCCTCGATAGATAGCCAGAGAACTGCCTCGATAGATAGGCAAAGAACTGCTCGATAGATAGCCAAAGAACTGCAGCAGCCATGCAAGCAAAATTTGATGAGTATAATTAGTTCAACGCACAAATGAAACACAATTCCAAACATCACTCCGTATATCACCACACGCATCCACAATACTCGTCAGCTCTCAAAACAACACTAACATTGTCCCTCCACCCACTACCTAAGCAGTACCCTACACTTCGTTATTAACAGCACTATAACTATCAATGAAGGAACGACGACGTTTCCAGTGTGTGGATTGGTCAACATACTTCAGCCACGTTATTGTGACACATCGCCTGCACTATATCACAAAGCATCACATCTGCCAGCAGTCTGAACACCTAATGAGAAACTAATGCAGTTAGCAAATCACTCAACACTCAGAACTCTAAACTGCACTTCAGACTAACTCTCCGCAGAGTTAGCACTTCAGACTAACTCTCCGCAGAGTTAGCACTTCAGACTAACTCTCCGCAGAGTTAGCACTTCAGACTAACTCTCCGCAGAGTTAGCACTTCAGACTAACTCTCCGCAGAGTTAGCACTTCAGACTAACTCTCCGCAGAGTTAGCACTTCAGACTAACTCTCCGCAGAGTTAGCACTTCAGACTAACTCTCCGCAGAGTTAGCACTTCAGACTAACTCTCCGCAGAGTTAGCACGTCAGACTAACTCTCCGCAGAGTTAGCACTTCAGACTAACTCTCCGCAGAGTTAGCACTTCAGACTAACTCTCCACAGAGTTCCAAACATTGTTCTAAACAGTGCTTTAAAACAGGTATACAAATATCACTCCAAACAAGACTTGAAATAACATTCTAAACAGCACGAATAAAAACTTTAGACTAAACTGCAGGTTAATGCAGTTGTTGCAATTAAGGAAGCAGGGTTGGATTTCCTCTTCACGATTGCAATACAAATATGTAATTTGGAGATCGTCCAACATTTAATGAAATTGTCAAGGACAAGAATAATCTGTTCTAAATATAATGCAATTTTTGTTTCAGCGTGTTTATGTCTTTTTTTGTGTGTGTTTGTTTCACTGGTTCTTCAAAGGTTTAGTAATTAATATGAAGGTGGAGGCTGAGACGCCCAGACCAGGTCAGCGGACTCCAGCAACTTGTCTATTGTCTTGGAATAACTTGATGTTGTAAGATATAATATATTTATATTCTTTTTATATGGTTGTTTATTGATTTTCTTATATTTTTAATCAAGAATATCTGATGATTCGGGTCTTTTTTTTAATTGTTCTGATAGTTTTGCTGCAATTAAAACAAAATCAATGTATTAAGAAGAGAAAAATGAAGAAAATGGAGAGAGGGAGAGAGAGAGAGAGGAGAGAGAGAGAGAGAGAGAGAGAGAGAGAGAGAGAGAGAGAGAGAGAGAGAGAGAGAGAGAGAGAGAGAGAGAGAGAGAGAGAGAGAGAGAGAGAGAGAGAGAGAGAGAGAGAGAGAGAGAGAGAGAGAGAGAGAGAGAGAGAGAGACTTTCACTTCCTCCGTCGCCTGACATGAACTTCTTCTCCTCTCAAACTCAATTTGTCCTCTCCATCACGTCATTCCCCCTCTTCCTCTCTCCATCAATCTCTGCTCCTTTTCTCTCCATCACTCGTTCCATCCGTCTCTCTTGTTCTCTTCTCATGCCTCTGACATTCTCCCACTATCCTCTCTCTCTCTCTCTCTCTCTCTCTCTCTCTCTCTCTCTCTCTCTCTCTCTCTCTCTCTCTCTCTCTCTCTCTCTCTCTCTCTCTCTCTCTCTCTCTCTCTCTCTCTCTCTCTCTCTCTCTCTCTCTCTCTTCCTCTTGCCTTCTTCTCTCAGTTCTTGCACTCTCCTCGCTTCTTTTGCTCTCTCATTCTTACTGCTTCTCCCCATATAATCTGCGAAGTCAGTTGGGCTGGACGGTAGAGCGACGGTATCACTTCATGCAGGTCGGTGTTCAATCCCTGACCGTCCAAGTGATTGGGCACCATTCCTTTCCCCCGTCCCATCCCAAATCCTTATCCTGACCCCTTCTAAGTGCTTATATAGTCGTAATGGCTTGGCGCTTTCGTCTCTTCAATTCCTCAACGTCGTCGTCTCTTCAATTTCTAGTGTGGGGTTTGGTCAACATTTTTCCCCTGATATTTCCCTTCTCTTCCCATATAATCTATCTATCCCCAGTCCCCTTTCCTTTTTGCATTCTTTTACACTCCTCTTCCCATCACTCTTGCCCACTGTGCCTTTGTCTCTTCAATTCTTCAGGACTCGAGAGCACTTGGTGCATATCTACACCGTTTCCCATTACTTTTGAACTTTACCTCCCCATCTCTTTATGTCTCTTCATCCCAGTTGCTCTCTATCCTTTGCCTATTGCACTTTGTTTTTTATCTTGTTATTTCCCCGTTACTCCTTACTACTCCCTTCTCCCACAGTGCTTCCTTTCACCTGTTTTCCTTCGGGACTTCCCTTCCACTTTATTCTCTCTTCCCTATCCATTTCCTCTCCTGCCCTTTCCCCTACGCCAGCCTCCTCCCTCCAGCTCCTTGCCTCACACCACAACCATAAATAAGAAGTTATTAACAAGGTCAAGTCGATAACCTTTGATGTTTAATGTTCCTTAAACTTTATACCTTCCTAAATAACATCGGCTAATATAATCGCTTCGGGGTAATATTTTAAACTCGTATAGTGGATTATTACGGAATTCTTTCTTCACATGCTCAATGTCAACAATGTTTAATTCACACATTTACCGACCACTGTAACGTTAGCCGACTGAGTTATGTTGCAGACGTGGCGAGAAATGTTGTGGGGGGAGCTTGCACGGCCGAGGGAGGTAGCACATTCAATCGTAAAATTAGACGTTGGAGTTGCATGTGTTGCATGTTCGTGGCTCATGGTTGGAATGTTAATCCCACTGCTAGCACGACCAGGGAACACAAATGGGAGGGTTCCGTTCTATCACTATCTTTAAATTGTTTTTATAACTACTGTGATTGGCCAGATACATCAT